AGAATATCAGGCGGAAATTCATCCGGGAATAGGGATATAGTACCCACAACGGACTCATACTCAGGGCCCAAACCATACAAAGTACTTTGAAGTATTTCTTTATTAGTGACAGGAGAGTTTATTGCAGCTAAGGCATCAGCTAAATTTTAATATCAAGCAAGTATTGCTCCATAGATTGAGTGTCCTTCTTTTTAATGGAATTCACGATACGCTTAAGTTCCATGGCTCTACGTAAACTAGCAGACATAAAACGTGTTTGCAAACGATTCCATATATCAGTTGAATGTTTATTATCACGCACATCAGTTAATACATTCCGAGTAAGAGTAGCAAACAACCAAGAACGAATTGTTTGATCTACCCTAAGCCAATGAGAATAGTCTGTATTAATGATTTGCTGATTATTAAAATTCACTGTGTACATGGGAGGTACCTGAATGGATCCATCAACGATGCCAAAAAGTCCCTGAGACACCAGAAAGGATTCGAATTGAGTGCGCCAGGTGAGGTAATGTTCAACAGCTTTTAGCTTGATGGTGACAATTTGGCTGACATTGGCGATGCCATGAGAAATAGACTGTGCCAATAGGGCCGTAGGAGACCCACCGAAAATATTTTTGTGGGCTGGCCGTGTTACACCTGGCGAACCAACGAACGATGGCCCATAAAAGGGGGTTGCCGGCGTGGGCTGAGAAGGAGCCGGAGGTGCCATCGATTGCCATGAAAATTGCCGCGGAAGGCTGTTGAAGAGAGGATAAGAATTTGGGGGCATCCAAATAGCTGGCTGCTGGATTGACTTTCTCTGGTTATGGCGTTGCTGTGTAAACAGCGCTAGAGGAATAGGGTTGTGGGGCGAGTGGAATAGGGACGGTGGGCGAGACCAGAGTGGAGGTAGGCGGAGCAGTGGCCGGAGAGGAGGGTTCCGCCGTGACTGAAGAGGTGGCGGGTGGGAGAGAAGTCATGGTCGGCTGCGGCGGAAAAGAGAGAGAAGACAGCCGGAAAAAAAATTGGCCCTAGGCTCTTGATACCGTGTGAGATTTTGGGAAAAAGGTCCTCCAATAGGAGTCCTGGACTGTTTATTTATAATATGAGAGTTTAATACAAACTAAGAAACAAGTATCCTAATAATATTCTATTAATATCGTGATGATTACAAATATTTTTCAACATCCAAAAATATACCAGGTGGCAAAGTTGACTAAAACAAGATCGATATTACATTCCAAATTATGATTTATGAAACTATATAATATCAACTAAAAGTCTAAAATTTTAGTGACTAAATAAATAATTGACTGGGGGATCTATATAAGGCAGCATCATAGTTGCATTGCCTGCTTCCCCCGCCCAATGACTTAGCATAATATCAACTAGCAGTTTAGTGACTGAACAAATGACAAACAGGGGGATCTATATCAGGCAGCATCATAGTTGCAACGTCTACTTCCCTAATGATTTGGATTGTTATCACGATCATGTCCCTGCAAGAAACAGAGTGGGAGCGAGGGAAAAAACCAAATAAAAAAGAAAAAGAAAATAAACACATCAAAAATTCAAATTTTAACAACAATGTCAAAACAAAAATACATATGAAACCAGTAATGAAATTTAAATCTAATGGTCTATTAAATGCTTAAGAGTAAATCCGTCATGAGATCATTTTTTTGGTATCATGCATGTCCCAAGCACGGATAAAGGAGGTGGGTGATGTGGTTGGCGCGTGACGGCCAACAATATCACTTAGTCACATCACATGACATGAACCGAAATATGAATATCGCTACAGCTAGGTCATCGCCCGTAAGCAACGCGTCATCCCTCTGTCTAGGGGTGGTGTCAAATATGCAAGGGCGCACCACAATTCATAGACTTAGGTGTGGTGATAAGAATGCTAAGGCTGCTAGGTCGTCGCCCGGATGCAACACGTCACTCCAATGCTCGAGGATGGTGTCAAATATGCAAGAGCATAGTGGGGGTCGATGTGGTGTGAAGTAGAGAATGCAGAGTGCTAGATTGCATTTTGGGACATGTAATGTTGGCTCTCTTATAGGAAGATCATCTGAGATAGCCGAGGTTATGAAGAGGAGGAATATCAGCATAATGTGCATGCAAGAAACTAAGTGGGTTGAAGAAAAGGCACGTGAGATTAATCCTAAAGGTTTTAAGTTGTGGTCTTCGAGGAGAGTGGAGAACAAAAATGGAGTAGGCATTATGGTGGAACATAATTATGTTGAAGGTGTGATTGAAGTCTTTAGGAAGAACGACTGCATCATGAGTGATGGAGTATATTCCTATATATCCTAGTGGTTCCACAATCGGTGGACAAAAAGGCTCCCAAGCATCTCAAAACACTCAAGTACAGAAGTTCCATCTGAGGCCGACCTCGACACCCGAGGTCGGGAAAAGATGCAAGGCAACAAATTGACAAAGGCAAGAAATCTAGCCGAGGCCGACGTTGACCCCCCTAGATCGACGCGAACAGTGAGCTCGCGAACCAACTTGATATGACAAAATATGAGGCCGACCTCGGGCACGCCGAGGTCAGTGCCAGCACTGACCTGTCCCGCTAATGCATAGTCAAACGAAGTTAACGGGAGAGTCAACGTTACTAGACCACATCGAAGACTAGAGATAGATCCTCCAACAATGAGCTCAGGCATCCAAGCTCTGACCTCCAGGAGTTCGGGGCCTCACCAACATCATATGGACTTAGGCATTTTGTGGAATCAAGCACCACGCAAGCTATCGCCATGTCACCAATGATGTAGAAAGCGCCACATCACTCCCAGCGGATAAGAGGAAGAAAGTTCCAAATAGTACACGTGTAACCCGCACATGCTGGTGTAAGTTTGTTACGCATAGTTCCAATCAGGCAGTTGTCCCAATTATCTCTCCAATCACATTTACATGTGTCAACACACTTTTTTTTATCCCGGAAGGCAAACGACCAAAATCAATGGGGTAAATGTGAGGGAACATTTACCGAGTTGTATTGATGAAATAAAAATAATACAAAACGAGGGGGGACTAGATCAAAACCCCTAAAATACAAACAAGGACAAATAGAAAGAAGCATTGGGGGCTAGACCTGATCCATTGGCTAAGAAAATTACATAATACATCGAAATGATGGATAAAAACATAACATAATTTTACTCCGCTTAAAAAATTCTAAAGTAGCTCAAACCCAGCTTATCAACTACCAATGTGCGTCTAATATGACCAGGTAGTTTCCTGATGTTGTAATAAATGAATAAATCGTCGGAATTCATTTTAGACAAGTAATGCGAAGGCCGATTAATATCCCTAAGAATATGTCTGAATGAAATATTTCTCTCGACCATCCATCTTATTAGGTCCTCAATCATCTTCTTCCACCATCCTTCCGAATCACCTCCCAAAATTGCATCAACTACCAACCTTGAATTCGTTTCAACCTCAAACACCTGATATCGCTTTTCTTAAGCCCAGGACACTGATTGGTAAACGGCTTTAAACACTGACTCCATTGTCGATGTTACAGAAAGTGGAAAGTGAAGAGAAACCTCTAACTCGCCTGACCGAGATCTTATCACTGCTCCACTCACTACCCGATTTGTGTTGAAAGAAGCATCAACATTCAATTTGAAATCAAGAGAAAGTAATTCCCATTTAATAGCTTGAATTTTCGTTTTCATATATCTAAAAGATCGTGGCAGTAAGTGTTCTTCATAAAGAATAGAACTAGGTTTTCCTAATTTGAGTTTTGTCAGTTTTGCATCACACCAAATCTGCGAGAAGGATTTGATTTGATGAATAACAACCTGATAATTAGGAACTTCATTTTCCTCCCCCCACCTAACCTGACAGTAATTTTTCCAAATGTGCCAAGAAATATTTCCTGCCATATTATGCATGAAAACATCAAGTAAGGTTTTAGATCCCTCTTCCAACTACCGTGCAATAAGCACCTGTCGCATATTAATTGGTCTGATAGGATTAGGAATCTCAAAAACTCCCAGAAAATACTTCCAAATGTACCAACTATAAAAGCAATTAAGAAAAACACGATCCATATATTCATATTTCTGTTTACAGAAGGGACACATAGTAGCAAACATTGTCTGATTGAACCTTCTCAAATTATCAGGTATCATCCTATTAAAAGTTTTCCACCGAAAGATCTGAATTTGACTTTACTGGTGTTTATTCCAGGCCGGTATGGCTGAAGGAAAATATAGCATTTCTTTCTCACCTAACTTGCTGAAAAGCTGAGGATAAAGTGAACTTGCCACTACTTTCAGGTATCCATAATAACACACCATCATGATCTTGCATACATAGAGATTGTCCCATAGCATGAATTTTACGTATTCTCTTCCAAATAGCTGAATTTGTAGACTTAGGAATCATATTTGTGCCCCTTGGATATCTAGCATGGCAAAAATTTGCCCAATTAGATCTATTACACCGTCATTTCCACCAAAGCTTTAAAGAATATGCCTTCTCAATATCAACCAGAGATCTTTTACCCAAACCACCTTCAACATAGGGTAAACATAAATCCTTCCATTTGATCCATTGATATTTTTTCTTAAAAACATGTTTAATTAACACAATTATTCCTCCAATGTTTAGATTTTTCTGTTTCCATGTTGTAAGCTTCTTATTAAATGATTGAAGAATTCCATTACAGTAACTCTTCTTGTTTACACCTTTATGCAGGGATGAACCAAGATATGCTAGCCAGTGAAGTTTTACCACACCCAAAGTTACTTTTGTCAAAATTGGTAGCCTGACCTGAAGCCTTTTGATAAAGACCCAAAAATCTTTTAAAATTCTGAATAGACCTATCTTCCCCATTAAGAAAAACTAAAATGTCATCAGCAAAGCATATGTGAGTAACTGATTGTCCAATTGGACTAATCCAGTGGGATTTAATATTATTAGTAGACCCTAAGCTCTTCAAACCTCTAGATAAATCTTCTGTAGTAAGAATAAAAAGAAAAGGGGAAAGAGGATCCCCTGTTTTACTCCCCTATGTGGCTGGAAGAAACCCTTTTGGTGAGCCATTGATAAGCACAAAGAAATGAATAGCTTTTAGGTGATTCATCACCACAGTAATAAACCAATCTAAGAATCCAAATCTGGACAGAATTGCTTGTAAAAATCCCATAATATTGGTGCCCCTGACCTTCTTGTCTATTGAGTTTAATATTTTTTGTGCTACCAATATATGATCTGAAATATCTCTCCCCTTCATAAAACCTGCATGTTCAATAGAGATCAATTTGGGAAGAATATTCATAAGCCTGTTAGCCAAGATTTTTGTGCAGACCTTATTAATGAAATTAGAAAGGCTGATAGGTCTGAAATCTGAAAATGTAAAAATATTATCCCTTTTTGAGATTAGTACAATAAGAGAACTAGCCATTGCTTTGGGGATAAGATTTTCTTGAAAGAAATCATGCACTACCCTCACTACATCTTCACCCACAGTTGACCAGCACTGTCTAAAAAACACCTCATTGTATCCATCAGGCCCTGGGGCACTATCTTTATCTAACCCCCATCCATATAGCACTCTTAACTTCTTCAGGGGAAGGAAGAAGCATCAGCATAGAGTTATCATTGATGGAGTTATGGGACTAGGCCCAGAGCCTAATCAGCACAAGCCCCGAATATGGACCCGTGGATTCAAGTCCACAACCTGGAGCCTGTCTGCCAGCCCAGCGAGGAGCCTGCCAGTCCGGCCGACCTCCTAGTCCGAAAGAGTAACGGGCAAACAATTAATGCGCTACTAATTATGTATTTAATTCCATTTTAATGTTGTCATTAATCAGTCATTATTATAGGTAGCGGTTACGATGTGTATACGCCTATAAAAGGCATGTTGTAATTCAGATTAAGGAAGCAATTTCTATATGCTATTTCTAGCAACCAAACACTTTTAGCTTCTTTCCTTATTTGCATTATTTTCCTGATTTTCTACTTGAGTGTCGTACGTAGCTTTCCTAAAAGCCTACGAGCGTCCTATTTTGGACCAACATTGGTGCTTTTATTGAGAGTCTATATTGTATCTCGATCACTCTGAGTGGAAATCACACAAAAAATGTCAAAAACACAGTTACGGAAATCCAAAAACTATTCTGCAAAAAAAATGACAGGAAAAAATATAGATAATTCCCGATCTGGAAAAGGGAGAAGATGGCTCTCGGAAATCCACTGACCGGCAATGCAGTCCAGCTACACCGACCCACCTTCAACATAGTGGTGTCTGCCTCGTTGCCGGTCGCGCCGCCATCGTGTCGATTTCCCTCATAGCTAACTATTGGAGCCCGGGTCATGGCTACCTCCTCCATGGTCATGTAATCCTATTACTGGAGAACAACCTCAAATTTCTGCCATTTATGGCCGCCAGAATACCCAGGGAGTAACAATGCAGACCTTTGATTGAAAAGGTGACATGAATCTGCTGACCCACCATAACAGGTCCACGCAGCAACAGGCCCAACGACCCTCTTCCGTTCTCCGGTGACCTACAGCGGCGAAGACCGCCCAGTGGTACGAGCTGCCAACGTCCGTACACAAGGACCAGCAAGGTTTGACGGTGGAAGGGACCAGTGGCTTGTTCTTTGCCTCTCAATCCTCCGACGAAACCTGTGGAGACGACGCTCCTTAGTCCATGGAGATGGCGCTCCTTAGCGACAATTTAAGGGTGTCCATGGGTTCTGGCGACCATAGTCTATCAATCAGCATCCAACCTTCCAGGTCTGTGTCTTCGGGTCATCTGAACGCCACACTCGGTGGTGCAAGCCAGTGAATAACCTCTGGCCGGCAAGACATGTTGGAGACGGCTTCCGAGCAGCAAAGGCTCCCAGCGGCAACAGCTCCAGGGCGACGATAGTAGGTAGCCGGCGGAGAGCGGAGATCTGATTCGGATCTCCCATTCTCTCCGAACATAGCGGTAGGCTGCCTTCTCTCCAGGCCTAGCGGGAGCTCAGAAGAATGAATAGGATCCAAAGACTGCTTCAAGCCAAAAATTAATCCTCACGATGATGGGTCACAATTCTAGCAACCCAATTTCAAACTTATGGCAATAGCTAAGTATCTAAAACTCCATTCGTACAATTTGTATGTGAAAATATTTGATCAAAAATATATAAAATGATTCAATAAAAAATCATAAATTGAAACATTTGAAAAGATATTTTAAGTGATATGATTGCTTTTACTCTTGTTAAGTGTGTGTAACTTTAACATTGAACAACGGACTTATGAAATCTGATCACTCAAGTACGTCGGACGAGCACACACACTCGTACACTTGCCGAGCACACACACTCGTGCCACCGGGTCACGTCATATGAGTGTGGTGATTAATAAGCTCCAATATAAATGTTAATACCGCACACTCTTGACTTCATACGAGTTCTTGCGTGCTCTTACCCTTTCCTAGTGCATCACACTCCGACCTCGGGGGACGAATCACCCGTTCAAAAGTTTTTACTTGCGGGTTCGAACTACTAACCTCAGGTTAAACTCTTGTTAGGGGCCTAGATCCATGCTCTTCCGAGCAATTTTGACACTTAATTGACATTTACATTTACCAAAATGGTTGATATACTTTAGTTCTTTGGGGTTGGATTATCCATTCGAGTGAGGAGTCCGACTCACTTACTCGCGGATTCAATCTTTCTTTCGGAGACTGGGTTGAGGCCTAACTTGGGAACTTGATGTCACTTTTTTCAAGTAGTGAGCCCGACTCACTTACACACTTAGATGTGGTTCGACACCAGGCCAGATGCTCTATTCTACACGAGTTTCTTTTATGTGTAGGTACAACTGAATGAAGTGGGGGACTAAGGGTCTTACCGTTTTCAAGGAAGCAAATGACAAACCTGACAAGTCTGAGTCCGACGAGAAGAACAGTTCTAGCAATCCTATTCGCAAATGGCGACCATTGCAATAAAGACTGAGGATCTCACCTCTTGCTTCATCTTGGGGGCGTCAGATGTACTCTTTTTCCCTTCATTAGGATTTTCCCATTGGGTTTTTGACGTGCACTTGTCGTGAGGTGCACTCAAAATAATTAATCAATACAACACTAATACGTAGTATAGTGTAGTAAGGTTCGTATCCACAGGGAAAGGAATACTTTTCTCTTATATAAATAGTAACAAGAGGGGGTTTAAGTTTGATTTGATTGAATTTAATTAATACTAAGATGAACAACCTATATGAGTTTGATTAATAGAGATGAGGACTTGGTTTTGCTTTTATCCACTTAATGAAATGTTCGTCGATCCCGGTTATATCTTTAACTATCTTCCTCTCGAATACTCAATCGAAGAGTATATCCAGTTCATCGAGGGTAGTTATTAATAACGAGACGCGTTCATTAATAAAACTTACTACCGAGTTAATATAGAACACGCGTCGTATATTAGCCCGATAGTAGCAATAAACTTAAGATGAAACCGATTGAGATTGATAACCTCAACACAAGCGGTTTATTGATTTAATCAATATAATTAATTCCCCTTAGATTATTAACCATGAGACACATGCATTAATAATCCAAGTTTTACTACCGTTGAAAGAACCGAGTTAATAACAAGCGTATTAATCGATTGATTCTAGTAATAATTAATATATGAAACAAAACTAGTTGATCCTTTAAGTAATGCTCAAAATATTAATATGGAATATGAATAGGAAATAATTAATATTCAAGGAAGAAGATTAAAGAAAATAACTCACAACATACAAATTCATTAAGCTTCAAAGTAGCAAAACCAAGATGGAAGAGTTTAGCTCCTCATTTGGGGACTAAACATGAAGAAAATATAAAGAAAGAACTATTCTAGACTGAGCTTAGAAGTATATATGAATTGGTGATTTTTGTGGGAAGGAAAGGGGGGTATTTATAGGCTTTTTAGGTTTGCAGGGTCGTGTACCCGATCGGGCTGTAAGGGCACTCGATCGGGTACTTGGTTGCTTCACGGAAATATAAAAAACTAGGTTATACCCGATCGGGTATGTCGGCCACCCGATCGGGTATGAACAGTTGATCGTGCCAAAATCTCCCCTGCACGTTGCCTTGTCCCGGATCCGATCCGATTTGATTTTTCAACAAGGTACCCGATCGGGTATAGGTCATACCCGACCGGGTACAACACCAAAAATCAGAATCTTGAGATTTTTTGCACCCTCCTTCCATTTGTGATGTTCACCAATGGTCCCTAGAGTGATCTTGGACCTGTTTGAGCTCAGTATAAACATAATCTAAACAAATTACAAACATTTTTACAACTAAAACTATTACACCAAAAGTGTGTAATTTCCAAGGTAATAATCAATCTAAACTAATAAAAACATAAACGTAATCATGGAAATTACAAGAGTTGAGGTTCATGGTGTTGAACCCGGCAAGTAGTGCTTGTTGGCCCTCCAAGAGTTGTTGGAAAAAGTCTTGCGGGGGTGGGTTTTGAGGAGAGTCGGGGATGTGGTGTTGGGCATGTTCATGTTCATGTTCCTCTTGGTGTCCGGCTTGATCGGGTTGGTTCGGTTGGGCTTGAAGATGTGGTGGAATGGCATTAGGAAGCAAATAGTGGGTGATTTCGAAGCTTGCTAGTTTATACCTAAGTTTAGGTAGTTCGTCGCAAGGGAGGGGAAAGTATTTGATGGGTTCGGGGTACTTCATGTGCCATTTGTAATGTTGGGTGCCATTGTGGTCCTTGTTTCCCAAAGAGATTAATCCCGCATTGGATAACCAACCAATGTGCATCAATGTATCGGCGTGAATAGGAGCATTGTCCGTATAGCCGAATTTAGACACCAAGTGCATGATTACCCCCCCAACCACAATGTTCCCTGTTTTCTTACAAGCTTCCTCTAAATGATCCCACATGAGATTACAAAGGTTATATGCTGTAGGTCTCTGAAAAAGGGCTAGAGTGAGTACGGCCACGTCCCCCATCCGAGTATGGTGATTGTTTGGGCGGCCGAGCAAAAAATTACACAAGAACTTTAGGAAAATCCGGAGAAGGGGATGTTGAACGTGACTAACTGAGAGTTTAGACGCGTTAACTTTCACTTCTCCGGTCATTTTTGACCATAGAGTATGAGCATCAAGCGTGCTTTCCGGTATCCCCCTCTCATGGGCCATGGGATTTCCAAAGTGTGCGGCAAACTCACGTCTCGTTATTGAGTATTCGGTGTTGCGCACACGAAACGTGAGTTCATCGGAATTGAAATCCGCCGGGTCCTCTTGTAGAACAAATTTCATGGAGCTCATGACCTCATATATGATTTTGTCAACACAATTGTATCGCATATTGAAAATCAAATTCATTTGCAATACATGAAATAATTCCCTCATGCCATCCTCTAAGCCTAGTTTCTCAAGGGCATCATGACAAAGAAATCGAGAAGGAACTACTTGCCTTTTAATGATGGCCAAACATCGTGCCCGATGATTTCCCGGCCCAAAGCGGACATCCTCAAAGCCATGAACTGGTCCCCGTGTGTTGGAGCTCTCCGGTTGGTTTCTTTTTGGAGCCATTGATGACCAAATGTGGAGCTTGATTCGGACTTGGGGTTTGGGGGTAGGGTTTGGGTGTTTCGGAAATATGGGGAGAGGGTGGATTTTATGGGTAGTGGGTTGTAGAGGGGAGTGAGGGGAGTGTTTTGGTGGTGGTTTGATGGGTTTTTGTTGAGTATTGATGGAGATATGGATGGGAGAAGGTTCGAAAATGGTGGATTTGGGAAGAGAGGTTCGAATGTTTGGGGTTGGAGAAGATGAAGTGGCCGATTTTTGGGTCTGATTTGGGTTAAAAGTTGGTGTACCCGATCGGGTGGCCCGACATACCCGATCGGGTACCCTCTTGTTTTCTCATGTTTTAGGATCGGACCCGATCGAGTTTGGGTTATACTCG